ACTGTGGTCCACTTTTCCTGAATATCTTTAATTAATTTTTTCTTGAAAATATTATCCTTGCAGTTTGGGCACAGACAATTACAATGAAGTCAACAGCAGAAGAATATTCCTTTCTGCAATTGATTTTCACTAGATACTCTAAACTTGTAGACAGGAATGCATTTGAGATTTTTATGCAAACAGCAAACACATATCAATCTTTTGAATTGGTTGAGGTTTCTATTTTAGGCCACCACATCCACCTCCTACTCTAACATAAAACTCTCAGATCAATAGTCTGCAACAAAAAACACACTTTTTATATTATTAAAATAATTTTTTCATTAATCACTTTTTTTTTTTTTAAATAAAAAGTGTTCTGCCTTCTCTATTTAGAGTAGTTAGAGTTTGAGTCCACACTTACACCTATCTTTTTATGCCAAGTTATGATAATTTTAGTTAAGAAAAACATTATTTTGACCATAGTTTTTTTAATAAATCCAAATATCGAAAAATCTGTACTAAAATGGTTATAACTTTTTAAGGAATTGTTTGATTCTGATTTTTCACATTTAAAATACTGCATTGATCCTCTTTCTAATGATATATACGATCTAATATTTCCAATGATATATACAATCTAATTATTGATCCTCTTTCCAATGATATGATACAATCTTATATTTAAGCAATATGAATATAACTTTCAGTGTTTACTTTCAGAACTAGTTTATATACATGTACATTTTTAAAAAGGTAAATATCTCAAAATGTGATAAATTTTTAATTTATCACATTTAAAACTTCTAGACAACTCCTCAAGCGTTCTACTGATCATCTGTGGTAAAATAGGGGGAAAGGTGTCAGAAAAGTTTTATTATCATTTGAATGTAAAAGTTTTTATTATCATTTGAATGTAACAGAATGTAACAACAAGAAGAGAATATTATTCAAAAACAAGATATGATTAGGTTCACAAGAATTTCTTAATTGTTTGTTCAAGAACAAAAAATAAGGAAAAGGTATTTTTATATAAAAGCCAAAAGAGACAAATAGGATACAAAGCTATTTATTTTAGTTGTATTGTTAAAATTGAAACAAAAAAAATATTTAAAAACTAATTTTCTTAATTATTTTTTATAATTTTTCAAAAGTTCAAAACATAAGTTTTGTGGCTTGATTTTGAACTGCTTCAAGGGCGTTTATATTTTCTAATGAAAAGGGTCCCCATGCTTCTGATCAATATTCCACATGAGGTTTCACAAAAGTTAAAGGCAATATTTGATTGTGCACTTTAGAATACTGAGAACAGCATACAAGTTTGAAATTTGAAGTAGCTTTTGCTACTTCAAATTTCAATTTACAGAAAATGATTGTTAACAACAACAGCAAAATTATTGTAAGAAAATGATTGTAAACAACAACAGAAAATGATTGTAAGAAAATGATTGTAAACAACAACAGCAAAATGATTGTAAGAAAATGATTGTAAACAACAACAGCAAAATGATTGTAAGAAAATGATTGTAAACAACAACAGCAAAGTAAACAACAACAGCAAAATCTTTATGAATATGAATGAGGCTTGTTTTGTCATGGTTAAGTAGATGTATAAGTTGTTAAAATCATCATCAAATAAAGTTTTGTTGTGCTGTGTTTCACAATGCTTGTTGAAAAACATGTAATTGTATTTGTATAGATAAAAATTCATTGACCAGATATTAGTCCACTCAACTGCTCTATTGATGTTGATTTGTAATTGCTGCAGGTCAGAAGTCTTTAATAATTGCAATAAGTTTGGTTTATAGTTTACAATAATGGTTAATTTGATTAGTCATATTGTTGATAAAGATAAAGAACAGCAGTGGTCCAGAATGTGAACCCTGAGGTACACAGCTAAAGATGTTCATCTAATCAAGTTTTGAATTTTCAAGAACAACTTCCTGTTTTTGATTGAAGAAAAGTGGGTTTATCTATTGCCAGGCTTGTTAAAGACAAGCAATAACTTTAAAACAGCACTCAATAATTAAAATGATTCTAATGAGTTGCTAAAAAATATTTACCAGGGGCTGAAGCCATGTTTAAAGCCATGTTGATTTTTATCAAAAAGTTTGTAAGAGAGTAAGTGTTTAAGCATCTCTAATAAGTCTTTTCATCACTTTGTATTGAACTGATGTAATTGAGATTGGACTTTAGTTTTCAGGGTTCTTATTTGTAGATTAGTGTAATATTAGCTAACTTCCAGCTATTTGAAACAAAACTTGATAGAAAAGACTGGCAATCATTGAAATTTGAGTGGAAAAGAAAAAGTGCATTTCATTTAGCTTATGGTGATGTAAGTAATCTATTCTTGCAAATTTATTTTTCCATTTTGGTTAGCAAGAGTGCGAAGGCGTTCTTTAATATATTTCTGCTTGTTACATAAAAATAAAGCAGTTTGGGATCAGACTTATATTTTCCTGCTAAATTACCATCATAGCCTTTAGAAGCCTTAAGTAAAAAGGGTTTTATGCAAGGAGAAGCTATAGAAAGATAGCCATAACTGCATGGCAATGATATTGCATTATATGGTTGCACACTTCAATGTTTCTATCAGTATATTGAGGCAAATTTATTAAAAAATTTTGTATTTCATTTTAATATTATTTATATTATTGTTTAAAGTTTTGTATTAGTGAAATGTATTTTGATTCAAATTTTGTTATTTCTATATGTGAACCACCTTAAAGTAATAGTTATACCTATTAAAGAATTTCTATATTATTCATTATGTTCATTTTATATTATTCATTGGATTAAAATTATCTGACTCAAAATTAACTTTTTTTTTACACTTAATTATAGCAATAATTAGAAAAAACAACAATGTAGCAAAATATTAACAACAATGCAGCAAAATATTAACTTTTGTATTATAATATTTACACTAAAAATTAAAGTACTTATTGAGGTTTTTTTGAAGGAATAGAATACACAGTTGTAGAGGGCAAAATTATTTTCTTGTGAAAAGAGATGTTAGTGGAGATCTAAGCTGTGGCTCTTTATTGTTTGTGGTTTTTATAAATGACATGCCAAACTTTTTAACAAATAATTCAGAGCTTTATGCAGATGATAAAAAAATACTTTCAGAAATACGTGAAACTAATCGATAGTTTAGGAATCTTGATAATGTATTGACTTTTCAGTTTTAATATGGAAAAATGTGTTATGCATTATGACAATAAAATTTAAAATTATAGGAATTAATAAGGGAATTAAGTATTCTTCAAATGAAAGCTTCGAGAATTTGAAAGTTCAAAAGATTTAGCTGTAATTTATGGAACAAGCTTGAAATGGAAACAACTAATTGTTTTGTATTTGCTATATTATAATGGAGTTATAAGTGTTTTGGAAAAGATTTAGCATGACAGTACTAGTTTTATTTAAAAAAAAAAGTAACTATGAAACAAGGCTGGAAATATTAGAATTAATTCAAAACAAAAAAATGGTTGAGGTTATAAGTAAAAGAAGTGAAAGAGCTACTACTACTACTACTACTACTACTACTACTACTACTACTACTACTACTACTACTACTACTACTACTACTACTACTACTACTACTACTACTACTACTACTACTACTACTACTACTACTACTACTACTACTACTACTACTACTACTACTACTACTACTACTACTACTACTACTACTACTACTACTACTACTACTACTACTACTACTACTACTACTACTACTACTACTACTACTACTACTACTACTACTACTACTACTACTACTACTACTACTACTACTACTACTACTACTACTACTACTACTACTACTACTACTACTACTACTACTACTACTACTACTACTACTACTACTACTACTACTACTACTACTACTACTACTACTACTACTACTACTACTACTACTACTACTACTACTACTACTACTACTACTACTACTACTACTACTACTACTACTACTACTACTACTACTACTACTACTACTACTACTACTACTACTACTACTACTACTACTACTACTACTACTACTACTACTACTACTACTACTACTACTACTACTACTACTACTACTACTACTACTACTACTACTACTACTACTACTACTACTACTACTACTACTACTACTACTACTACTACTACTACTACTACTACTACTACTACTACTACTACTACTACTACTACTACTACTACTACTACTACTACTACTACTACTACTACTACTACTACTACTACTACTACTACTACTACTACTACTACTACTACTACTACTACTACTACTACTACTACTACTACTACTACTACTACTACTACTACTACTACTACTACTACTACTACTACTACTACTACTACTACAATATTTCACAATATTTCAATACTACAATATTTCAATACTACAATATAACAATATTTCAATACTACAATATTTCAATACTACAATATAACACAATATTTCACTAGTCTAACATTTTTTTAACAATTATAACTAACAGTTTTATTTAATTTCAATTTTTTTTAATGCAAAGTCTTTCAAAGTGTAAGAAACCTCTATGAAGCAAAATTATAAAAATCAATTTAACACAAATAATTTATGTTAAGTGACTACAAATACAATTTATGCTAAGTGACAACAAATTTAAATAATGCTATTTTAAATTTTAAAACAAATTTAAATCCTAAATGCCAAGTGTCTACAAATTTAATTTATGCTAAGTGACAACAAATATAGTCTATGCTAAGTGACAACAAATTTAAGATAAGACTTGAATATTCAGACTGCTTATTTGCTTTGTATTTACTATTAGAAAACCAGAAATTATGCAAATATTTAGTGTATTTTAAGATAATGAGTTTTTTGAATGAAAAAACATGAAGCCATTTTTATCTTAAAAATATGAAACAAAATGTTATTAACATTTCAAGTTGTAAAATATTTGTTTTTATTTATCAGTTCATTAGTTTTATTTAGTTTTTTTACATTTTATTTTAGTTTAAAAAATTATCTTTTATAGATTTGCTAGATTAGCTGCTGCAGTATTCCTTCATGCTGGCGTGAAAGTCTATCTTTTTTCGGATATTGTACCAACTCCATATGTTGTAAGTATTTAAAAAAATTCTTCTAAATATATTTACTAAATAATAAAAATTTTTTGCATTCCTTACATATTTACTAATTTATGGTGTCTAATTTTAATTGAATCTCTGTAATTGTTTAAAAAATCTGCAACCACAAAAATTCTCTTGCGATAATCTATTCAATCTGACCTAATAAATTATCCTTTGGAATAATCTAATTGAATTTTTTTTTTAATTTTTTTTTTATTTACACTTTTGCCGATAAAAAAAAAATTTACAGTCGTAACTTATAAAAAAAAATATTACATGACCGGGGCTAGAAGAAGACAAATTTAGTCTTATCATTAAGCCCCATTTTTCTTTGTGATAATCTGTTAAATCTAATATAATTATTAGTTTCTAAAAGGAGGGAAAATAATTTGTAGCTAATACAAAAAAAATTTTAAACAAAAATCTTCGACTGATATTCTTTTTAAACCAAGTAATTTTTTTTTTTTAATATTGTGGTAAAAATATTTTACAGATGTTAATAATGATAAATATTTGCGCACAGAATATTATGTAGAAAGTTATAAAATATTTGCGCACAGAATATTATGTAGAAAGTTATAAAATATTTGCGCACAGAATATTATGTAGAAATAAAAAATATATAAAAAATATTATGTAGAAAGTTAGTTAGCAAGATTATTCACTTATTCACAACTGTAATTAAATTTTGTAAACACAATAGTTTTGTGCTTTCAAAACTCTACACAACCAAAACTCTATTTTGTGTTCGCAAACAAACACAGTAATTTTGTACTCACAACCAAACAAACACAGTAATTTTGTACTCACAACCAAACAAACACAGTAATTTTGTACTCACTACCAAACAAACACAGTAATTTTGTACTCACAACCAAACAAGCACAGTAATTTTGTACTCACAACCAAAACTCTAATTTGTTTTAATAACTAAACAAACCACAATAGTTTTGTACTCTCAACTAAGTTATATTTTGTAGACACAATAGTTTAGTGTACACGACCAAAACTATGTTTTGTAAGTGCAATAATAATGTGCTTAAAACCAAACAAACACAATAGTTTTGTGTTCACAATCAAAACTATATTTTGTAAGCGCAATAATAATGTGCTTAAAACCAAAAAAACACAACAAAGGAAAAATACTGATGGTTTTGTTTAAAATTTCAATTGAACTTAAAAATAAAGTTTTTATCACATCATCTATTTATGAATTTCACTTGTGATCATCTTTATAAATAATTTTATTACAAATTTGAAATTTTATAGTGTTGTATTTAGTTTTTGTTTTTATAGTGTATTAAGAGTGTGTTTTATTTTCATAGTTAGCTTGTCAAAATATATATCCATGGAATAACCAGTATAAAAAATGGTTATATATTTAGTTTCATGTAAATGTTATTAGAAATATATGAGTAATTAATGTGTAGAGTTCAATAAATATGGCTGCTATAAACTTATTTGAAAATGTGTATATAAATTTTTTTTATTTCAGTATATATTATTAGTTTGTTAGTGTTTAGAAAAATGATAAACTTTACCATGAAAACATATTGCTACATGCTTAAGATGTATTTGTTATTAAGAAGTATTTGTTGTTGCTAAGAAGTATTTGTTGTCGCTAATGTCTATACAAATTAGTTGTATATATTTTTTAGATAAAAAATAATTGTTAAAAACAAAAATTTATAGATGAATTTTATTTTATTTGAGTATATAATAAATTTTTCTTTGTTTTCGATAATTTTTAGACAAACAAGTTGAACAAATAATAGGATAGAATATACGATCATAGATGAAATGAGCATATCAGGTACATGAGGAGTTAGCTATAAACATATATGAAACAACAGTAGAAAGTATAAAAGTAGAATATGCAAAAAAAGAATAGATATTTAAGTTTATTGTTTATTATATTTATTTAGTTCAAAATAAATATAAAAATATTTTTATACTTTTAGCCATTTTCTGTTCTTAAATATAAATGTTCTGCTGGCATCATGGTTACTGCTTCTCACAATCCAAAAGAGGATAATGGTTATAAGGTTTTTCATATCATTTTTTGTTATTTGTTGTTTTTTTTATTGCATAAATTTAAGTTTTATTGTTGTTATATTAATAATTAATAATTGTTTTGATATGTTGCAATATTCAATAATAACTTTAACTGTTATTGCTGTTGTATTAACAATTGTTGTACACATATATTTATTGTTGTTTTACATTTGATATTTATTGTTTTACATATATTTATTGTTGCTTTACATTTGATATTTATTGTTGTTTTACATTTGATATTTATTGTTGTTTTACATTTGATATTTATTGTTGTTTTACATTTGATATTTATTGTTGTTTTACATTTGATATTTATTGCTGTTTTACATTTGATATTTATTGCTGTTTTACATTTGATATTTATTGCTGTTTTACATTTGATATTTATTGTTGTTTTGCATATGGTATTTATTGTTTTGCATATGGTATTTATTGTTTTATATACGTTATTTATTGTTTTATATACGTTATTTATTGTTTTACATTTGGTATTTATTGTTTTACATATGGTATTTATTGTTTTACATATGGTATTTATTGTTTTACATATGGTATTTATTGTTTTACATATGGTATTTATTGTTTTACATATGGTATTTATTGTTTTACATATGGTATTTATTGTTTTACATATGGTATTTATTGTTTTACATATGGTATTTATTGTGTTAAATATGGTATTTATTGTTTTACATATGGTATTTATTGTTGTAATATTATTGTTTTATTAATCTTTATAAGGAAACATATACCACTTTTGTGTTGTTAATAATATGCATTAGGGTTACTTAATTCACATGGTTGCATTAGGATAACATATGACTTTGGATTTTTAAATTTAATTTTTTTGACCCCATATAAGTCATAATAATTGCTTAATTTATTACCCAGGGCTTTTTTTTCTTTTTTTGTTTGTTTTTTTAACTGCTCTTTTAACTGCTCTTTTAACTGCTTTTTGCACAGCTTTTAAGCTTTTAAGTGTTTGGATAGTTAAAATTCATTAGAAAGTTATAGAAGTTTGTGTGATTCAGTGTGGTAGTTGTTATGTGCGATTTTCTTGTTACTAATGATATTGGACTATTAAGTAGCTAAGTTAAAAAATATTAATATAATATTTTTTAACTTAGCTATAATAAATATATCAGTAAAAAACTTTTTTTTTTTGACATAAATTCATAACTAAATAATAAAAATTTAAAATTTCATTAGTTAATTAAAATTTTTTTTTTTGTTTATGAAAATATCAAGTCATGTGTACATCATATATATACACACACTGAGAGTATATAGGCATACTCTCAGTGTGTGTAAAATATCAATATTTTAACTTTGTTTTTTTTAAATTAAAATTAAAGTTCAAAAATTTTAAAAATTATTTTTAATTTAGCTTAACAAACTATTCCTACCAAATCCCTCAGTCAATGTATATAATCCCTTGGTCAAAGTATACTCCTTGTATGTTATTCCTACTTAAGTTAGTTGATGCATGTACACTCCCTGTATGTTCTCCTTAGGATAGTCAGTCAATGTATGTACACTCCTTGCATGCTTTTCCTAAATAATCAATGAATGTATACACTGCTGCAGTAATCCCTAAATAATTAAATCAATAAAACAAAAGTGAAAAAACAATGATTTTTGCTTGAATAAGCATTTTTTATATATGTATGTATGTGTAATGTACTTATGTTCCTGTTAAAGTTTTATGTAGTTTGTTATTAATTGGAAAAAATCACAGAAATAGATTTATTCTTTCTTAATTTGAAACAAATGATGATATAAGCAATGATAATGATATTAGCAGATGCTAATGCTCTATATTATTGATTCCATTATTTAATATCTAATTTTTTTAATATTTTTTTTTATTTCTCAATTTAAAATATATGGGTGATTAGTGCTTACAATTTCCTTTAGGTTTATTATTCAAATGGATGTCAGGTATTGTTATTTGATGTAAATATTTTATTTATAATTTTAAACTGTTTTTAGGCAGAGTTTTTTGTTGTTTTTTATAAATGGTATATATATATATAAAAAATTTTTTTATAAATGGTACATCTATATAATTTTTTTTTTCATAATACAAAAACTTGTGACAAAAAAATTGACTGCAAAAAATTAAATAAAAAGCGAATTCAAAATTTTTGTCATCAAAAGTGCACAAACTTTTATATTAAAATAGTATACACTGTTTTTAAACTCAGGATTTGAGTTAAGTAACTTTCAAGTAAGTTATTAACTGGATTTGCATAAAAAATTTTTGCATTATTATTTGCAATATAGACAGGTTCTATTTGTTTTATAAATATCTTTTGTTTTTTTGTGTATTTATACTTATAGTAACAAGTTATTTCATGAAAAGATATTTTACCAATTGGGCTGAACTTACCTGGAAGTTATTTATCTTAAATACCAAAAAACCCTGGATTTGCATAAAAATTTTTTGCATTATTATTTGCAATATAGACAGGTTCTATTTGCAATATTGCAGAAATTATTTAAATAAATACTTTACAATATTTGCGAAATTTTTATAAATATCTTTTGTGCATTCAGCTCAATCGCCCTCATGACAAACGCATTGCTCAATGTATATTTGAAAACTTAGTGCCCTTAGAAAGCTCTTGGGATGAAAGTTTTCACAAAGTCAGTGAACTTTGTATTGACCCACTAGATGAAGTTCACCAAGATTACTTAAGTGTTATTCAAAAACATTGCTATAACAGGTAATTTTATTTTTTTTCACTTTGTGCGTTTTTTATAATTATTATAATATAATTTTATTAAATATTATAAACTTAATATAGTAAATATTAAAAATGCAAATATATATATTTAAAAGTTGTATAAATATGTTTAAAGTTTTGACTTACTAGTAGGAGAAAAGCTGAAAGCGAAAATTTACCTGAAATATGTGCTATTTTACTATTTATCAAGTTTACATAAAAAAACAATTAAAAAAGCCATTAAATTATTTTATAATTTACTTTTATCTTTTACATTTTAAGGGTGCAACCACCCTTAGCTGCAATAACCGCTTTATATATTCTTGGTGTTCATGTCATAAAATTATCTACAAATTCTATACAACAAATTTCCAATTTGTTGTAGTCAATTTTATGTCGCTCACCATTAAGTTATATATATATATATATATATATATATATATATATATATATATATATATATATATATATATATATATATATATATATATATATATATATGTATATATATATATATCAACACTGGACAGAATTTTTGATGCGAGAGCCGCATATAAATTCTGACGTGTGCCAAAGAGCTGCAATAAATATGTTGCTATGCCAATTTTATCTTTAAAAAAAATAATTGACTAAGGTAAATTTAGATTTTTTATACAGTAATATTTAGATTTTTTTAAAATGGAAATTGTACTTTTATAAATAAACTTAGTATGTACACTATTTATGTTTAGTATTTAGTTTTTGTTACAATAAAGAAAGTAAAAATTATTCTTTAAATGTAAACTTGGCTACATAAAATCTGATTCCTTTTTATTCACACTAGAAAAATATATAGAAAAAATTGAGAAAGAATATCCAGATCATAAATTTTTTTAAAATGAACACTATTACAACAACCATAAATTTTCTAATAAAAATAATTGGGAGCAAGATATAAAAATCTAAAGATAAAAAGGTTTATTTAAAAAAAAAATTATTTTAATGTGTATGAATTAAACTTACTTTTATTCGAATTGAACTATAACCACTTAATAGCTTAAGTTACTAAAAACTGCAAAGTACCAATTAAATAAATCACTACAAAATAATTTTTTTTTTTATGTTCAAATTACTTTTATTTTTACAATTAAAAAATAACTTTTCATCATTCAGCAAAAAATTAGGCATAACAGAAAGAATTCTTTTTATAACATCAATTATTTCATAAAAAACATCAATAATTTTCGTATTAGAAAATTCTTCTTGCATAATAACTTAATTGACTATACATTTATTAGTCATTAAGATTTTGAACACTACTGGTAAGTTTTTTAAATCTGATTTCAAGCTTGTAGTTGATATTCTAAGCAATTCTAGTAAATATTAGCATGATACTTTGATTTAACTAATTTCATGTCAAAAATAAAGATTCACATGTATACATTGAACCAAAAATTGAAATGAGTTTTATACTAATCCTTTTTAGATGAGGATATTTAACTTCAGAAACTATTTTCCAAAAATCCAATAAAGTTAGTGTTTTATTTGAAGATTTTGATCTTCTTGAAGATCTAATAATTCCATTTCAAATTGAGATGTTTCTTCAAGTATGTTTCTTGGAAATGAACAACCATCACTAATAATATCAATTAAAAAAGGATTCACTAAAAATTCTAATAATGATTTAAGAGCATACAAATCTTTAAACCTGTTTTGAAAGTCTTCGAATAAATTCTGTAGTTTGTCCCCGTATGATTCAATCTTATGATCATCATATTGAATTGTAGGATTAGGATTATGAATCATCTTCTTCATTTGAGGAAAATGATTAAAAGTTTTAAGAGGTAAGGTCTATATGAAATAGAGCAATTTTTTTTTGGAAAACTAAATATAGTCTAAGCAAGATCAGATATATTTTTTTCTTTTCCCTAAAGTGACAAATTCAGATTTTGTAAATGTTGCATTACATCAGTTAAAAATAAAAGATCTTGAAAAATATTCACATCATCAAAGATTTCAAATGTCTTTGCTTTTCAAGCAAAAAAGATTTAATTAGTTCTAATAGTTCTACAAACCTATAAAGAACTTGTAATGTTAAATGCCACTACTTGAAAGCCACCTTACAGCACAGTAAAACGACAAGTCACTTGGTTTGTCAGCAAGATCCAATTCACTAATGAAATTTTTAAACTGTCTGTGATTTTTTGCATTAGATCGAATATAATTTACAATCTATAGCACTGATTTAAAAACGATTGGAAAATTAAAATATTTTGCTGCTAAATGTTCTTGATGAATCACACAATGAACTGGGATAAACTCTGGATATGTAAGATCACTTTTTAGTAAACCAATAAGTCCAGCATGTTTTCCAACCATTGCTGTTGCACCATCTGTAGCAACACTAACAAGCTTATTCTTAGGAGGATTAGCTTTCACCAGAACAGTGTCAAGGGTTTCCTTTAAATCAATTCCACGAGTTGTGTCTTTAAGCTCTACTAAATCTAGCAACTCTTCTTTCACAAATACATCTGATGTTACATATCTAACAAATACTGCCATTTGAGGTTTATCTTGAATATTTGTTGATTCATCAAACGTGTCTTCATCTTGTGTGATTCATCAAATGTTAAACTGAGTGCTTCACAATTTTTTAAGTTATTTAACGAATTCTGTAGAGAAAAACAGAAGTATTTGAAATTAACCCTTAAAATTAACTTTTATTCTAAAACTGAAATCACATCTAAAAGACTTAGTTTTACAAACTCTCCATCAGTGTAAGGATGTTTACTTCTTGCAATATTACAAGCTATAATAAAACTTGCTTCTGTTGTAATATTTGATTGTTTGCTAGAAGATGAAATATTTGTTGATTTTAAAATATTGTTTTAAGAAACTCGATTTTATTTTTTCTAAGACATAAATTTAATGGTTATTCCTCAGAAAAATACATATGTTTTGTTTTCATAGTGGCATTTAATATTACATGACTTATTATGAGCAAGTTCAGTATTGGAAATTAAACATATAGGTTCATTTTCGTTTTCAATAAATGAGTATATAATAATAATCGATAAATAGTATTTTTCTGTCCAATCACTATGAAATAATCTGTTCTCATCTTCAATTTTTCTTTTCTTAATTTTATTTTGAAGTGCATTATTGTCGCCTTTTGCTATATTCATTTTTCAAGCAATGAAAAATGGATATAGCAAAATATAAATGCAGCTCATGAGCTGCAATGACGTTTTAAGAGCAGCATGCAGCTCACAAGCCGCTATTTGGCCATCCCTGATATATATATATATATATATATATATATATATATATATATATATATCAGGGATGGCCAGGGATTGCAAAACTTTTTACATTTTATTTCATTAAACCATTACTGCATAATGTAGCTACAGCTTTGATTATGATTATAATGCTACTTCTAAAAAGGGAAAGAATAAATATGTTTTTAAATCTAAGGTTTGTTTGATTCTCATTCAGTGTTTTTGAGTCATTTTTTAATGACAATTTTATAGATTTTAACAATGTTAAAAATTTGTTTTTTCAAAACTCAAAAAAGATACTATGACTGTTTAGATGATTTTAATTTTAGTAAGAAAAACTTCTTTGTCTGTGTCCCATAATGGTACCAAAGAAATGTGGAAAATCACATTTGTTATTTTATAGATTTGGGGCTGTTTTTATAGCAGAAAGATGTTGTTTTTTTGTTTTTTTAATGTTCTTGTTAACAAGAACATTAAAAAAACAAAAAAACATATTTATTCTTTCCCTTTTTAGAAGTAACAATATTTATTTTCTTATAACAATTTTCCTAAGACAATCTTAAAACAGTTTTTAAATAAAATTTTATTTAGATTATAGGTATTAATTTTGTTTTTGAATAAAATGTCTTGTTTTTAAATATTTTTTTGTTGTTAGTAAATAAAAGCGGTAAGGTTAAATTGTCTGTGTCATTTTAAAGGAGCATAAACGCATCCAGCCAGTTAAATATAACATACACAGCTATGCATGGCGTTGGTGAGAAGTACGAAGTTGATGCTTTTAAAGCTTTTTCATTAAAGCCTTTTTTTAGCACTGAAGCTCAGGTATTAAATACCTTTTTTTTTTTAATTTTTTAATGAAATACAAGTTATATTTTTTGTGAGTGTTTAGGTAAAAAAAATTTTTATTCAAATCAATTGACCATACTTTTAATCAGTTGTAATCCTTTTATAATCTTTTGAAAATATAAATTTTTTTAATAAAAGTTATTTTTGTAGGCAAAACCTGATCCTGATTTTCCAACTGTAAAGCTTCCTAATCCAGAGGAAGGATTAGATGCATTGGTAAGAACATTATATTTTAATTTCTAATTCTATTCTATTTTAATATCTTATAGTTATTCAAAAATTACAGCTTATAATAACATGTTTAATAAATAACTTGTTTTCTACTAGTTTTTTCTGTTGTTGTTTTCTAAAAAAGTAAGTTAAAAAAAATCAGTGTTAACATTCAGTTATGATGGTTACTAAATTTTTTCGTGTTGATTTTTTAATTGGGTATTGAATTTTTCAGCTAATTTAGGAGAGAGTCGGTCACTATGATACATGGGGTACTATGAAATATTGCAGTTGTGAAGGCACCTAAAGTGTTGTGATGACAACTTTCATATAGTGAAACAGTTTCTATGGTGAAATTGTTTTCCATTAGTAATTATGGTGTAACTTCATACAGCAAGGGGGCCCTAAAACTGTTGAATAGTACTCCATTGTGTCATAAACAATCTAGAAAATCGTTTCTTTTAATATTTACAGTAAATTTTTAAGAGATTTAATACAACACTAGTAGATCCAATTTCAATACAATTATTTATTGATGTTTAAGAATAAATTTTTTGCATTATTGAAATGTGGTTTGAAAAGTTATTTTTCTTTCAAGTAAAAATTTGTCTTTTCTCTGAGTTTTATACTTTTTATTTACTTTTTTAATGGTTTTCATAGGTTGCACCAAGGTACCACTGGTGGGGTACCTAGATACAAATTTCTAATTTAATTTTAAATAGTTTCATAAGTTTAATCTGTTATATTTTAGTAAATAAAGGATATTGTAAGTTTAATTCTGTGCACGGAAGAAAGAGTTATGAAGTAAAATCCAAAATGTATCATAGTGACACTCTCCTTTTTTTTTCTAGTGATTTTCCAAATAGGAAGTGATTTTCCAGATAGGAAGTGATTTTCCAGATAGGAAGTAATTTTCCAGGTAGGAAGTAATTTTCCAGGTAGGAAGTAATTTTCTAGATAGGAAGTAAATTTTTGAAAAATAGTGATTTTTTTATAGTATTTTTTATAGCTGTTTTTCAGTTGGATATAATTTTTGCACAAACCTTGATGAACAAGGCTGTTGCGCAGAGAAACGAGTTGAGCGCGGTACTACAAAGGAGGTGATGAAGATCAAACTTGGAACCTCTCGCTTATGAAGCGAGCGCTAGACCACTACCGCATTTTAACTCTATTAACTCCATTAATCCATTACCTTTTTTAACTCAAAAATGAACTCCATTAACTCTATTAACTCCATTTTTAATATTTAGATAATTTTTCATCAATGAACATCAATTTTCTTTCTTTCTTTCTTTATTTATTTTTATTTAAAAAATTTGTAATTGTTTTTTTCAAAAAACAAAAAATGTTTTTTTAAACTCTTAATTTTCAAAAAGCAGATAAAGCTTTTTAAAAATTTTTAGAAATATAATGAAATAAAAATAATTTCAACAAAAAAATTCTACCCAAAATTTTAAAGTGTATGAACATTAGGAGTTGAAGTTAAAAACTTTAGAGTGTATAAATTTTAGAAGTTGAAATTAACTAAAGATTTTTTTACCCAAAACTTCAGAGTGAACTGTTGGAATAAACTAAAGCTAGAGTGAATAGGTTTTAAGGATTAAAATTTGCAAAACTAACTGAAAAAGAAGTAATCTTGTTAAAAAAACATTAAAACTTTAAAAAAGCATTTTAACATAATATTCCTGTGTATCATGTATATCAATTGGTTATATCAGCCAACAAGTCAAATTTGCAGACCAACTCAGCATACCAAATCAGCATACCAACATGTCATATTTGCAGATCTGATTTTTGGATTATTTATTAAACAAACTTACATATGTGAAAACCTTTTCATTTATATTTTGTGCTGTCTTTTTGTCTGCAAAGTTTTTTGTTTTATAGAAACTTGCAATAAAGACTGCTGAAGCCAATAGCAGTCCAATTATTATAGCACATGACCCCGATGCTGATCGATTGGCCATGGCAGAGAAACTAAAAGAGTAATTGTTTTTGTTATTGTAAAAACATTTTGTTATTGTCACGTAAAAATTATTAGAAGTTTTAAATAGTATTTTAAAAAAAAAAAAAAAGTGAATGATGATGATGATGATAATGATGTTGATGACGATGATGATGACGATGATGATGATGATGATGATGATGATGATGATGATGATGATGATGATGATGATGATGTTGATGATGATGATGATGACTTTTGTAAAAAATTTAGCGGCTCATGGAAAGTCTTTACTGGAAATGAAATAGCTTTTTTGCTTGGATGGTGGGCATTTATAAATTATAAGAAATCACATGGTGAAAATTTTCCAAGTAAACTGATGTTTTATTAATGTTGTTATTACTTTTGTTGCTGTTGTTACAGTTTTTTGCTGTTGTTACAGTTTGTTGACCAACCATAAAAGAAATTATACAAAATTTGTTTTTTAGAAAACTCTGTCATTATGCTTTACAGTACTGTTTCATCTCGTGTTTTAAAAACAATGGCTGAAATTGAAGGTTTTTTAACCGAAGTACAAATAATTCTTACTTCAAGAAATATTTAATATAAAGTATATTTAACTGAAAATGTAGTGTATTATATATTTATGTAGTGTATTATATATTTATGCACCTAATTGTTTGGCTTTTTGGTTACAGTCATAAAAATGTTTTTTTTATTGATAATTACAGTTACATATTTTAATTACTTTAATTAATTCTATAAAAATTGTTTTCTATAAACAAAAATAACAAAAGCAAAATAAGAGAAAAATAATTATAATTTTTGGTTTTAAAATTTGATTAAGTTAAATGCTTTTAGGAAACATTGTGTGGCTTCAAGTGGACAGGAAATAAATCTCTTGAATGTTTGATGCAGGGAAAGACCGTTTTATTTGCATTTGAAGAAGCTTTAGGTAAGTTGTCAAGTAAGCAAGTAAACTTTTTGTACTAATCAAATAAAAATTTAAAAATAAAATTTAAAGTTAAAAATTAGATAAATAACATTATGTTTTGATGGTTTTTAAATGTAATTGATATGTTTTAATAAAAGTAATGGCTATGTTTCAATAATTAAATATTGATATTAGTTGTAAATAATGTAATACTATGAGTTGTAACTAATGATGTAATACAACGTGTGTGTTTTTCGTTTTTTTTTTAACATCTTTACTTCCAACAAGGCTGCAACCAAACACTATTAGAGTTGGAAGTTACTGGAAGATAAAAGATGGAGCTTATAGAGCAATATAACAGTTGACATACAACTTAAAAGATTGCAAATTATATGCATCGGAAAACAAAATGAAGGAAGCGAGTTCCGAAGAATCGATGTTTGAGGAAAAAAACTAGATGAATACAAATTTTTGGAGTACTTAGGAACAGTCACAGTAAAAAGATTAGACTTAATTGTTGACTAGTAACACAAGAATGAATTTTAGAAGATGGTACAAAAGATGCTAGCTCTTTAGAGCAGCGCCCATTAAAGTAACTATAGAAAAGAGAAATAGAAGCAGGTTTACAACAATGTGACAACGGTTAAAGGTTAACTGCAAGTGCAAGTTCAACTATGTTTAAAATGTGTTTTTGCACCTTGTCTAAAAAAGAAAGAACATCATTGAAAGATCCGCCCCAGATATAACAACAGTATTCCATACAAGGACGGATTTATAGAGATAAAGAATAGAACTAGAGTAAGAAATTGGCAAGCACGGTAGAGAGATGCAACCTTAGCAGGTGTTAATTTTGCAATCAATTTGATATATGATTTCCAAGAAAGATCGGAAGTAAGAGTTAATCCTAGATGATGACAATTAGGTGGCTAATTGAGTACATTACCATTCATAAATATAGGGAGATCTAGATTATTGTGAAAATGTTTAGCTGAAAAAAATTGAGTATTATCTAAGTTGAAGTTCACCAGCTATTGAGAGCCCCATACTGTAGATCCTTTTCTTACTGAAATGCTCCTTCCAAGCAATCAGGGAGTGTTGGCTTCTTATCAAGACAAGAATAAATAGTAGTATCATCAGTGAACAGTGCCAACTTAGATGTGAAAATTTCTGGAAGATTGTTAATGTAAACTAAAAAGAGAATAGGGCTAAGGATAGAACCTTGAAGAACCCCTGAAGTTACAGGATATGAAGAAGAGTGTTGTCCATTGAGAACAACTATTATACTGTGATTGGTAAGGAAAAATTCACTTGTTGAATAGTTTCGAACATATAGACAACAGCTTCGGAGAACACTTCTGTAAGACAATAACAGGTATGTTGTCCAGACCACAAGCTGTAGATGAATCTAAGCAGGATATTAATTTAGATACAGAAGCTGGAGTGACGCAAATGTCACTCCAGCTTCTGTATCTAAATTAATATCAGTAACAGATTTGCCCTTATTATAGATACTGTTAAAGATTCCCCAGAAGTCACGAGAGCCTAATTTTTGAGATAAAATACGAGATTTTATGATCTGAGAATAGCGGGCTATGGCGTTAGACAAATTCTTTTTACAATGTTTTCTAGCAATAGTAAACAGACATCTGTTTTATGGAGAATTGGAAATTATGTGGAATCGTTGAGAGGGAATAAAAGATTCCATGTCAGCCTGAATTCAAGAAGTTATGTTAGAAGTGCATTTGTCAGCAGGAAGACGAAAGATTTTTAACAAGATTTTTGAGGCACATCACAAAGAAAATCACGGAAAGAGCCCCAGTTAGCTTTAAGGTAGTTGTAAGAGGTGATCAGGGAATTCTGATGATGAAGATGAATGAGATAATAGTTTTAGAGAGATCAAACCATGATCAGAAGCACCTATGGGTAAATGTGGAAAAACTAAACACTGACTAGGATCAGCAACAAGACATAAGTCGTGTAGAGAAGGTAAATGATTCAGGTTGTCTGGAAAGTGAGCTGGAAAGTTGATTATTTGAGTTAGAGATTGAGAAAGGCAAAAGTTGTGGGTCTTAATGCCTGCAGAGTCACTGACACTGCAGTGATTCTGCAGGCATTAAGGATTCAAACCTAGCTTCCCGACAAATGGGTGAATTCTTACAAATGTAAATGTCCAGTCCAAGCATGGGACTATTGGAGTCTTAACAAATTAAAGGAAGATGTCTAAAAAATTAAATTTACAAATTACCAAAATATAACAGGTTAAACTTGTGAGACTATTTAAAGTAAAATTAGAAATTGTAAAAAAAGTAGAATTAGAAATGTTTCAAGGTACTCCACTCATGAAGTACCTTTATATACACTATGAGCATCATTAAAAAAGTAAATAAAAGGTATAAAATGTAGAGAAAAAGCGAATTATTACTTGAAAGATAAATAAAATAATAATTATAACCCTAATAATGCATTCAACGGTCCAAATCATATTTCAGAAGACCAGATAATATATTGTTTTAAATGTCATTCTTAATCGCCAATAAATAATAGCTTTTTATCAAAATTGGATATCCTCTTATTATAATTACATTAATCTCTTAAAAATTGACTGTAAATATTAAAAGAAATGGTTTTTAGAATTGTTTATGACACAATGGAGTATTGTTCTACAGTTTTTGGGCCCCCATAAATACTGTATCAAGTTACCCTATATTTTCTAATAGAAAACAATGACTTTATTTTTAATATCAACATATTTTTTTAAGGATTTTGTTTAATGAAGTAAAGAGCTCATGGATTTGTAGTTTACAAAATAATGTTACTTACCAATAGACACATTGGATAAGATACCTTAAACCTTATGAACTTTAAAAACTAATAAATTACTTTGTCATCAAAAATACAGCTCTACTAGTAACTGTTTCACCGTATGAAAGTGGTTGTCACAACTCTTAAGGTACCTCCACAATTACAATGCTTCATGGTGCCCCACTCTCCCGTAATACAATGAGTTTTAATTAATGATGTAATGCAATAACAATTATTAATAACATTGTGATATTTAGGATATATGTTTGGTACGCAAGTGTTAGACAAAGATGGTATCAGTGCAAGTGTAGTTGCATCTGAGCTGGCTTGTGTTTTATACAATGAAGGAACAACCCTTTCTGAAAAACTTGAACAGCTGAATGAAAAGTAAGTACTTGCTTGTTTTTAAAACTCATACACTGGTTGCCAATAAAATTTGAAATGTTATTCAATTTAAATTAAAATTGAATTGAGCCATTTTGATTTGTCATATTTTCATAGATTAAAATTGTTTTGATAGATTCATAATGATTTAATAATTTCAAAATATATTACTTTTATAAATATATTTTGAAATAAACTAAAAATCTTATTATGGCGCTATGAGTACTTTATTATGCTCATACATAAATTTAAAAATATATAATAACAATTAAAAAAAAAATTAATACAAGTTGAATAGTATGAAACCTTGTTGCTTTATTTATTTATTTATTTATTGTACTTAATTTGCATACCTTCATATGCAAATTTCTATATTGAAAATTTGCATATCAGGGTATGGCTTTTTCCAAAATATTTTTTATTCCTGTATTGAGAGTGTGTGAAGTTACATCTTCACACACTCTCAATACAGGAATAAAAAATAACAAAAATAAAAAATAAACATCTTACAATAAAATAAACATCTTACAATAAAAATCTTACAAAGCATTATTATTTGTGTAGAAGAAATAAAAAAACGTAAAGTATACATATAGTTATCATAATTGTAATCATTCAAAATGTTAATAATTATCAAAATAAAAACAATTAACAAAATACAAAGAAAATTTTTAAAAAGTTACACAACATTTGCATACATTTTTATAATCTAAAAATAAAAACAAAAAAGTTTTATGTTGGAAAAAAGTAGCATATTTAATGAAATTTATTGGTATATATATAAAACAATTCTTTTATATTTATTTAAAATGATTTTTTAAAATAAAGTTTATCATAGTATAAATATCTTTATACTATGATATTTAGTATATATTATAAATATGAGTAGAGCTGATGGTCAAAAAAAATTCTCATAAAATGTCTATTGTTTATGTTAATATACACTTTATAGTCTTCAAAATCTGAATCCGTGATGAATGAGTTAAAAATTCACATCCCTGGTCAATGAGTTTAAAAATTGAATACTTTGCATCCAATCAGAATTTAGATTTTTTGAAAATTGCTTTTACTTAATTTTTGTAACATTTTCATATTTTAGTTTTTAATTTAGTGCTTATGAGTAAAAAAATTACATTCAGTATACAGTTGTTTTAGTATATATTAAAAGTTGTCATTAATTAAAAAATTATTTATTCAAAAATCATTTAATCTTTTTATTTTTATAAAGAAATATAAAAATTAATCAATATAAAAATATTTTTCTTCACAATTTTTAACCGAATTACAGATTAATTGACAAGTTAGGACCCCAGTTGAAAAATTTAGGACCACAGTTGATATTTAAAAACCTGGTGAGCTAATTGAAAATATATATAATTATTATCTTTTTATTAAGTTATTTGTTTTAAAGAAAGTTTTTTGTTTTAAACCATATAAATTTTAATTTATATGGTTTAAAACCATATAATTTTTTTTTGATTTATTGCTAACCAACTGCAGTTAGGATTTATACAGCTTTGTAGACTATGAATGGTAAAAAATTCATAGAAACAGAATTAGATAATTTATGAGTGTATATATTTTTTACTGTCTGCTCTGAAAAAACGTGTTTTATCTAATTCTAATATTGATGGTTTTCGTATATGAAGTATAAAATTTACAATAACTTTTTAAAAACGTAAAATTTAGGTATGGTTTACACCTTTCTCATACTTCATACTTTATATGCTATGATCAAGTCACAATTAAAAATCTTTTTCAACGAATCAGAGAAGCTAACAGCGGAAAGGTCTTTTGGTTAAATAAATTTCCGAAACATTTTTTACAGTCTTAATTTCGTTAATAACAATAATAGCAGTAATTAAAACAAATTTATAAAAAATTGTTTTTAAATCAATCTTATTCTTTTTTCAATTCTTCAAATTAGTATCCAGATTATGTTGGTCCGTATAAAGTAAAACACGTTCGTGATTTATACGGTTCAGGGTTTGATAGCAGCCAACCAGGAAATAAACCGGTTAGTGTTGTTGATACATTTTGTTTAAAAATTGCTTTCCACTTCCATCAAAGAGTTTCACCTTATTTTGTTGTTAGATTTTTCCTACAAGTACATCTGGTCAACTATTGACGTTTACATTTGAGGATGGCTGTGTTGCGTCTATTCGCACAAGCGGAACAGAACCTAAGATAAAATATTATACTGAAATATATACAGAGCCAAGTGACCGGTAAGTTTAGTATTTAAGCTCTTTACTTAAACATATGATGCTGTTCGTTAATAATTTTAATCTCATTTTTTGATAATAATTTAATAATTTTCACGTTATCCCATTGTAATAATTTTAAACACCTTTAAGCTAACTAATCTCATTCACATCTATTTTTGTAGAATGACGCTGGCTGAAGCTCAAATGAAAATGAACAACCTAACTAAACACATTATTGAAGAACTTCTTCAACCTGAACAAAATCATCTAATTTCTCGATAATTTAAAAAAATATGTAATTTTGTTTTTTGTTTTGAAAGGATTTTTTTTATTTCCAAAGTTCTAAATTAAACGTATGTTATATAAAACAAAAATATTAAAACTATGGAAGAAATCCGGATCAAACTGAACACTATATGCTGATTTTATTACTTTTTTATTTAATTTTTTAAAAAGATTTCATGGAAAAATGAGTTGTACGAAAATATATTGTTTTTTTAATTTAAAGAAAAAAACTTTAAAAAAATATTTTAAGTCTGGCTTAAAAGATAACATGAGTGTTTTTTAGTTCATTTTGTGCTAATAAAAAAATAATTTAAGTTTTTATTCGATTTATTTATTATTCGTAAAATTTAAAAATTGTATTTATTATTCGTAAAATTTGAAATTAATTTTTTATTTATTATTCGTAAAACTTTAAAATAACTTTTAGGAAAAAAAACTTTTAAAAGTTAAACGCAATCTAAATTGTTCGCTTTAAACTTTTGTTCAGTTTTACCCGCATTTTCTCTGTAAATTGACATACTTAAACAGCATTATAAAGGAATTTGTTAATGAGTTTTCTTGATTTATTGCGTAATTAAATTATATTAGTATATTAGTCTTAAAATATGTGTAATGTATATATTAAAACGTTTTTAAAATGTATAGTATAAATTTAAGTATCTATGCTTTTGTATGTTCCGTTTATTTATGAAGTTTTGCACCGAAATCATTTTAGAGTATTAAGTTAATTATAACTTAATATAAAGAAGTAGTTTTACGGTAGCGGGTTGAAAGAATTTTTGTTAAAAATGTGGGTTGTTTGAATATATTAAGAGGTACTATTAATATATTCAAACAACCCACGTGGGTTTGTTTGAATATATTAAGAGGTACTATTAAGTCTGCATAATTCGGCTCTCAACAAAAAATGAGAAATGAAATTTCAATGGGAAAACCCATTTCAATCATAAGGCAAATTTGAAAGTATGCAATATCCATGAGGTCGGGTGAATAAAAAAAAAGCTATTGATTTTACTCAGACTCAGATTTACGCAAATAAAAACTTCAGCAGTTTTGCATAAATTTTTATTCACGTAAAGTTAAGCAATTTACTTAGTAATTGCTCGGCTTTACGTGAATAAAATATAAAATAAAAACTAAGCAAAATTGCTTAAATTTTTATTCGCGTAAAGCTGACCCATTGCTGAGTAAAAGCAAAGGTTTTTTTTTATTTACCCGGCCTATAATATTAATATTACCGTACATGCGTTCTTGCAAAAAAAACATTTTTAGGTTTATCTTTATTAGATATTTGAGGTTTTTATTTGATTCAAATTGCTTAAATGGGTTATATCATAGGTTCAACAGGGAAAAAAAAGTCGTTATCGATTTATGAAACGCTGGAAACAGCTTGACAGAAACGCGTAATGCAAAAGATAGTGGATTCACTCTATAAGTTAAGAACTTTATTATTTCACCAAATGAAATAGTGCTCAATTAGGATGAAGCTGGAATAAAAACAAAAAGTAGTGAAAGTATTTAAAAAAATGTGCTACTGATGCCTACTAGCGTTTTGGCATACTGTTTCTCTACTTTGCGATCCGTAAAAAAAAACTATAAATTTATTTTCACGAACAATAAAAAAAACAATATCTGTTAGTTATGTTAAGAAAGGTTGGAAATGTATATGGAATTTTTTGACTGTATCATTAAAAAATTTCAAAGTTTGAACATGGACTCAGTACAATTTAACTATAAGGGAAAGATGGAACATTAATTTTTAATTAAGGAACAAAATGTAGCTAAAGGCGCCTTGACAGTTTCCGCCCTCCTATATTTTTGAAGTTTTAACCTTTTTTACCATAAAACTTTTTAAAACGTTTTAACCATAAAAATAAGTAACAATGGAAGAAAAGTTTATAAATTTGCCCTAATTTTGTTCCTTAAAATAGGGCAAACATCCAAAAGTTCCTTAGCAACGCCCTTAGCAACAGTTAAAACTTCTTTTCTCCAGAACTAATAGGCAGTTTTTCTCCAAAATTTTACTATACCTTAACCAGGTTGTTATCTACACTGTAAAGTTTTTCCCGAGCTAAATGCCAGCTGCCAAAAACACTAAATAAGACCGTAGTTGTATTAGTAACATAATTTGTTTTTGAAAAAATCTTGTTTATTAACCAGAGTTATTAGGCATTTATGTTGATAATATTATTGTAATATGGGATCTGAAAACAGATATAAAAAAGCTAGAGCTAAGAAAAGACGTTTTTATAAAAGTAAATCTTTAGACATCAACTTTACTCTAGATGATTCACCAACAGTTGCACATACATCAGCTTCTTCTAACAAAATCGATTTGTCTTTTTTGGAAGTAAAAAACATAACTCAAAAGGAAGCCTGTAATGATAACTTTAATTTAATTGTGAATTCAAATTTGCTAATTAATTTACTTAGCATGATTGGTCGGTGCCCAAATTGCACAGCTGAAATTAAAGTTTTTCATGACATGAAAAACAAAAAAGGACTTGCCCACATTTTCCTTCTCTCGTGCAACGAATGTGATTGGAATACAAATTTTTTAACTTCTAAACCAATTATAGAGGATCATGGAATAAATGGTCGTAAATCCTATGAAGTAAATTACTTGTTAATAATGGCTTTTCGTGAGATAGGTTGTGGTTATACTGCTATGAAAAGGTTTTGTTCTATTATGAATATGCCTCCACCAATGAATTCGAAGCCATTTGAAACTGCAAACAAGAACTTACACAATTCATATGTTGAGGTAGCAGAAAACTCAATGAGAAATGCAGCAATTGAAATCAGAAAAGATGTGCTCAATGATACCTACCATAAAGATGCAGTTGTCAACGTATCTGCAAGTACAGATGGATCATGGCAACGTCGTGGGTATACATCTCTAAATGGTGTAGTCACCCTCATATCTAACGGAAAGTGTGTTGACATTGAAGTTCTTTCCAAAATGTGTAAGTCTTGCAGTTTTTGGGAAAAAAAACAAGATTCAGTTGACTACAAATTGTGGAAACTTAGCCACAACTGTAAAATCAACCATGTAGGCAGCTCTGGCGCTATGGAAGTAGAAGGTGCAATAAAGATTTTTGGTCGTTCAGTAATTAATCGAAATTTACGATACACTACTTACATTGGTGATGGTGATACCAAGTCATACCAAAGAGTTGTTGCATCAGATCCTTATCCAGGCTTTGAAATAAAAAAAGCAGAATGTGTAGGCCATGTACAAAAGCGATGTGGTGCACGGTTAAGAACTTTGCGAATAAACTATCAAGGTAAACTGTTATCAGATGGTAAAGGTCGCCTTACTGACAAAGTAATTAATAGGCTACAGAATTATTATGGTTTGGCAATACGCCAAAACACAGATAGCTTTTACCAAATGAAAAAAGCAGTTGGTGCTATAATTTTTCATTGTTGTGAAAATGATGACTCAAAGAAACGTCATGAACTCTGTCCGATAGGAGCCAAATCTTGGTGCAAATATAACTCTGACCTAGTCACAGGCAAAAATACTTATAAGTCCAATACAAATATTCCTCAAGCAGTTGCAAATATTCTTAAACCAATCTTTTCATATCAGGATCTTGCAAACGAAAAGATGCTGGAAAAATATTTGCACGGTAAAACTCAAAATGTTAATGAATCTTTGAATAGCATGATATGGACCAAATGTTCGAAAAGAGTTCTTACAGGAAAAGATTCTTTAGAGATGGCTGCAGCATCTGCTGTCATTTGCTTCAATGAAGGTTCCCAGGGACTACTCCCTATATATTCCAAGATTGGTATTGTACCAGGAAAGTATACTTTGAAAGGACTTCTAAATATTGATGTTAAACGCGTTAGGGAGATGAACAAAAAGTCAGCTGAGCTAGTCAAAAAACAAAGAAAAAAACTAAGATCAATTAAAAAAGGCTACAATGATAACACAACAGAAAACGAGGGCGAATGCTATGCTTCTGGTTATTTTACTTGAACTGTTTATTGTTTTTTTGTGTTTATTATATTTGTTTTTTGCGTTTTTCTCCATTTACAAATTTTCTACTTTCTAACAAAGATATCTTTAGTTTGAAATAATATCTTAAGTTGAAATTTTTTACAGAGTCAAAATCTAGTTAGATGAATGTGCTGAGTCAAAAATATTTGTACTATAGTATCCCATTCAAATTAAATTTTGGGTAAATCGGGCCATTTTTTACTTTTTTTTAGGAATTTATAATAAATTGTGAATTTCAGAGTTTTAAATAAAAAAATAAATTTTATTTTTGACTCAGCACACAGTTCATATGGTAATCAATGTTTTTGAAAAGTTTCACTTGATTTGGAAAACTCTGCATTTAGTTATCCTTGTTAGAAAACATGCTGCTTTTGAGTTAATTATGCGGATAATTAATGACGTAATAATAAAAATAAAACTTTTTTGTATTTTTTGTCTTATTTAATTCTAATGCAATTGAAATGTTTAAATTTGGAGGGATAAAAGGGTTTCTTTAAAGATTTTTTTTATTTAGTGGGTAGCCACCTTAAAAACATAGGTCTGAAAATTAATGGAAAGTTCTCTACTTAACATTTCAAACTAAAAAGAATACACATTAAAATAACGAGCCTTTTAGAGCCTTTTCAGTTGGCGCTAAAAAAAAAAAAAAAAAAAAGTTTTACAATCTGCAATCATTAGCTATTTGATAAAAAAAAAATCTTACAGTAAATGTAAATTTAAACAAAAAGTGTATTTTTTAAGTTATTTTTTTAAACAAAAGTGTTAAGCTGATTTATGGGCTCTACAGGGTTAAAGGTGCGTCCTAACAACAACAACAACATCAAAAAAATATGTAGACAAGATAGACCAAAGACTTTTATAAAAAATCCTACTGTGCGGCTCGGCTCCGTCTCTTTTTTTACTGCAACTTCTTTTGCTAATGCTATATCTAAATTAAATAAACAGCATTGTTTATTTAATTGAGATATAACATTAGCAAAGGAAGTTGCATAGTCTTACAAAACTGTTTTCCAGAACTCACATCTCTAAACTATTTA